GTATGTGTGTGTGTGGGAAGACCTGGGGAGACTCCGAGGCCTTTTTCAGCGCGCGGGGTGGGAGACATCTGTATGGAGTGTCCTTAAAATCATTTACAGTACCCCCTGCCCGTTTCAGTCCCTCTCGTCCCACCACCTGACCGACTTGCCCGAGCTCCGGCGCGAGGGGGAGGACGAGCCGCTGCGCCTGTACGGAGGAGGCTCGGCCTGCTGGTCGCCTGCCTCCGCCGCCTCCGCTTCCTGACCGGCCGTCGCCGCCTCTGGCTGTGATTTGAACCACTGCAGGTGCTCTTGGTGTGCAGCCTCGAGCTCTTTCTTGTACGTCTCGACGCGGGCGATCGACAAGCCAGGGTCGCTGGGCGCTACTCGCTGGTGGCGCACGGCGCCGAGGTGCATCTTGCGATGAATGGAGACGATGCGCTCCCTGTGGCGCTCAAGTTGCGCTATGATCTGGGGCGCATCGAGCCGCGACGACACCTCGGCGTCAGACATGTTCTCCCAGCGAGCTGTCTCGGCGAGGCGCGAGGCGCGCACCAGACCGGCGCACGCATGCTCGTGCTCACGCTGGTGCTGCCGGAAGAAGCCGAGGCTCGACGGAGCGCGCATCAGCAACCAGTATAAAGCGGGCTGCAGTGCTGTCGGGGTGAGCGTATCGGGCTGTCCGGTTCGGGAGAGGGCGCCGGACCGCGCGTCCGCATAGCTGAGGCCCCAGAGGTTTGTGGCGACGCCGAGCGTGATGTGCACCGAGGCCTCGGCGGCGGCAGCGCCTGCACCCGTCACGTGGACGGTGTCCGTCGTGTGCGGGAAGCCAGCCGGTACGTAGAGGCAATCCCCTGGCTTGAGGACCACGTCGATGAGAGGTTCGCCGAGTTCGTCAGTGCGGAGCGTGTCGTCGAGTTTGCCGCGTGCGAGCGGGTCAGCGGCGGGCTTCGCAAACGGTGGGGGCGGGGCGAAGACGCGCCAGTGCTTGGCTCCACGCGACTGCAGCACGAGGACGTTCTGCTTGTCAGAGTGCGGCGTCGCGGACGTCGCAATGCCCTTGCCAGTCACGTAGAGGTTGGCCTGGACGGGGAGATCGAATGAGTCCATCGCCGTCAAGCAAAGGCTGCCCAACTTCGGGTGGGTCGCCCCGGCGCAGTTGTAGACAATGGAGCCCTTGAGTAGCGCCTCCTCCACCTCGTCGAAGCGCAGGTATTTCGTCTGAACCAGGGAGACGTTTGCGAAGCCATAGAACCCAGTGCCTCTATCCGCCCCGGCCGCCCTCCATACGCCACTAGACGCAAGCTGATCTCCTCCCTCGCGTCTGCCAAAAAACTGCGCGAATGGGAGAAGGTTGTTGTCGGTGGCCACCGCGAGATCGTCCATGGTAAAGATGTCCGCGATCCCCTGCTGGGTGCGATAGAGGACAGGCGTTTGACCCCACTCTTTGTGCACAAACGACGCCGACGCCGCGAGCTCTGCGAATAGCGTCACCGGCGTGGGCTTGGCCCGCGAGAGCGCGCGCACTGGATGGTGTGGCAGGTTGTTGGAGGTGATGGTGTGCTGAACGAGCCTTGCCAGGCTTGCGATACAGTCCTCTGCCACGACGAAGCAGCGGGCGATGGCTGACCGCAATCGAGGGTTGTCGGATCCGGCCTCCAGCAGCGTGGGCTGACAGATCTTGCGCTGCTTGTCCCATAGGTCGCGGAGGCCCTTGTGCGTGTGCAAGAGGAACATCAGCTGCTCGAGTGGAGTAGGGAAGAGCAACCTGTGGGGCGCGGGCGCGGTTACTAGCAGTGACGGGAGAGAGTGTGTGTTAGTAGGCTCTCACTTGATCAACTGTGCGAACGTTGGAGAGATGCCGTTCCGCTTCAGGTCAGTGGGGCTGCCCTTGACGGACATCTGCTCTCCGCTGAACGTCACACGGGCCCTTAGCGCACGGTCCTGCAGGGTGCGCCACAGCGTGCACGGCAGACACGCTCCTCTCAGCGGGTTCGGCAAGCAAATGGTCACGCTGTTGGGGATTGCGATGTTCTCGTCCTCCAGATCAACAAACCCGTACCTGTGGCGCATTTCGTCGTACGGTGTGCGTGTGCTGCCAGATACGCGGCTCTAGTCGTACTGGACTGTGCGTACTGGACCGCCGTCTGCACACAGTTGACGTGCGCCGCCGCGAAATAGTCGTGATAAACCGGCTCGCCAGCCTTCAGCGCCCGGAACGTGCGCAAGAAGATGCCCTGCTTCGTGGTGCCGCCGACGACCGCTCCGCCACTCCGGTGGTCAAAGTAATCAATCCCCGTCAGAATTGCGTAGCACTTGCCGCCGTCGAGCCTCTGGGAGCGGCAGATGTAGTGCATCACTGCGCGAGGCGTGTCGGACGTCGCAATCATGCGCGCATTCACGTTGAGTCTTGGCGCAAAGATCGAGCCATCCAGCTGCTTGAGCACAGCGTCGCCCTCGCGGGGAGGCTCGAAGTCGAGCGGAAGCTCTCGTATCCGCTGCGAAGCGGCGAGCTTGGAGATGAGCTGGAGCGGATCCGCGGCGATGGGGCACTCGCGCTTGAGGTAGGCGGGGGAGAGCCTCACGAGGTCCGACCCCTCCGGCACATCGGCATTCACCGCAAACTGCGATCCGTTCCAGCACAGCGCTGGGTGGGTCCACACGTCTTTGTCCATCTGTGCGCGGGCCAGCCACGCCTCGCGGGCATTGTGCGTGACTTCCATCGTGACAAACTCTGTCGCGCCATCACCACCACGGCGCCGCGTACGCCGCGACGAAAAGGGAGGAATAATTCTCCTCAATCCTACCGCCCGGCCACACACAAGTTGGCCGCTTTGTGTATCTCGAGATCTCGAGAGAGGCCGCCCGCAGGCCTCCCCGAGGGCCCAAGTCGTGAATTGGCTTCCTGTCAGTCACCTGTCTGTGCAGAAAGAAAGAAAGAAAACAGACAACCAAAGGAGGGATGGGAGGACGGCACGCCGCCACCACACAGGGATTTTAAGGATAGGAGTGTGGTGCTAGCCGTCGCCCACCCTATCCCTTGGTCGTCTGCCTCTTTCTATCTCCCTTCGCAGTCCCTCGCCGATTCTCGCTGTAACCTTCATGCCACCTCGCGGTCGTCCCACTCTCGTCGACGTCGTTCTCCCTCCTGTCGCTTCCTCCTCTGTCGCGTCGCTCTCGTCTGCCTCGTCCTGCGACGCCGCCGCCGCCTGCCGCTCCCTTGCGCTCGCGGCTTCTCCCGCCTTTCGGCGCAACTCCGCCCTCCTCGCGGCATATTTTGGCCCCTCGAGTTTATCAAGCTCTCCTCGTGCAAGGACGACTCTTCTGACGCCCACTGCGATCATTTGCCGCCAAGTCATATCGTTGCTCAGGTCCACTCTCTCTTCGAACACTTGTACCTCCACCGATGATGTTGGCGCTGGGGTCCCCTTCGGGTGCATCGTTACAACTGACGACGGGATCACCACAGGTGTTTCGTCCTCCTCGGAGTCTTCTTCCCCGGCTTCCTCCCGTTTGGCTCTACGTTCATTTCGTTCAGCGTGGCTCACCCTCCATGCCGTAAACAGGCGCTTTATCCCACCGAGGCTTCGGCCAACGAGGCTTCGGCCAACGAGGCTTCGGCCAACGAAAAAATCTCCACCCTCGCCCTCCGCCCAGCCCTCCGCCCTCCGCCCTCGCCCTCCGCCCTTGCCCTGGCCGGCCTGGTTGGCATCTCTTCATCTTCACGCGCCAAGTGGGAGGGAAGTGGACGGGGCCCTGAGCCGACCTAGCCGCCAAACGGAATGGGGCGCCAAACACGTGCCGGATTACCGTGCCCCTTGCACGTCGGGCACGGCCTTTCGGTTCGTGAAGGGTCGGTGCGAGTCGTGAGACGTGACCCCCTGGAACAACCGTACTCTCCCGCTCGTCCATCTCCGTTGCTTGGTTTTCCAACCTTGCACAACTTGACCCACAACCAACTGGGAGGCCAGGGCTCACAGACTTGATCGAAAGATCCCATCCCGGGATGGACCTCCCGGGCTCTGGACAGGGTGGCCCGCCACAAGGACCCCAGGAATTGCGACTCGCCGCTTCCTCCCACTGTGAAGTGTGAGCTCTGTGTCCTGTTTTGCCAACAACATACCTAAATCCTATGTTCTTCTCTCTCTCTCCTGAAAGAAAGAAAACAAACAACCCAAGGGAGGGATGGGGTGAGATGCACATCCCGAAAGAAAGAAAGAAAACAGACAAGCCAAGGGAGGGATGGGAGGACGGCACCATGCACATCCCATAAATAAAATAAATAGAGCAGTCATCTCCCGTAGAGATGGGCAACGCACGAACACAGAGGTACAGTAAAGAAAGAAAGAAAACAGACACGCCAAACGAGGGATGGGACGAGGACAGGGTCCCCACCTGCACGAGCAGGATTTTGGAAGAACGATCAGGGGGACAGGTGGGGCTCTCCTGCTCCTGACAAGGGACACGACAGACTCGCAGCGCGGTGCGCGGTGGACTCCCACATCCACTGGCGGTCTCATCTCAGTCTAGCGACCTGCCTCCAGCTTGTCGCTGGCAGTCTCTCCTACCACAGGCACACTGACACAGGGGTGGCAGGGGCGGCGGCACGAGTCTCCCACATACTATGCGGGCCTCACTAGAGGTGCGGCCTGTGCGTGTCCTCAGAGGTACAAAGAAAGAAAGAAAGAAAACAGACACGCCAAACGAGGGATGGGACGAGGACAGGGTCCCCACCTGCACGAGCAGGATTTTGGAAGAACGATCAGGGGGACAGGTGGGGCTCTCCTGCTCCTGACAAGGGACACGACAGGCTCGCAGCGCGGTGCGCGGTGGAGGTACAGTGCGTCGTTGCATTGTGATTAAAGTTCTTTTGGGGGGCAACATCCACTCGCTTGTTGTGCATGACGCTCTTGGCGACCATCCTCTGCCTGCCGGCCTTCATGCAGAACTTTCGCGTGCCGCCGCAGACACACCGGCATCCAGCGGCGGTCATGGGAGAGTCCAGCGACAGCGAGGCGCAGCGGCAGCAGCAGCAGCAGCAGCAGGAGCGGCTGAGAGCGCTGGCAGAGCACTTCCTGGCTGTTAGTTGCGCCATCGCGTTGAGCCCAAACCTGGACCTGCAGCCGTTCACAGTTCCTCAGGGCTGGCTCTCCTCCCCTTCGCCGCCGCCGTCCCAGGAGTTCTCCACGCAGGCGCTCGTGGAGGAAGTGGAGAGGCGCGAGCCCGCTCTCGCTGAGCTGATCGATGCGTGCGTCGATCGCGCTCCCTCTCTCTGCCGGCCCTCGGCGATGCTGCCTCTCGCGCGCCTCGCCGCGTGGGTGCCGAGCGAGAGGTGGGTGCGGCCGCTGGATGCGTGGCTCGGAGAGACTAGCGGAGGAGAGGCGGAGGCGGAGGAGGAGGAGGAGGAGGAGGAGGAGGAGGAGGGGAGGAGGGAAGAAGAGGCGCTGCGAGGGCTGGCGGCCCACCTCCTCGAGGAGTGGCCTGTTCCGCAAGCGCTCCACGGCGCCCTCGCCTTCGCCGACCGGCCTCTCTCCGAGGCTGCGCACCGAGTCGCAAAGGCCTTCGTCGCGGTGCACGCCGCAGCGGGCCGCGGGGAGGCGTCGGTGCTGGAAAGCCTGCGGGAGCACGTCGCGCCGGGTATGACGAAGGCCGCCGCCAAGCAGTTTGTACAGCCGGGTGGGGCGGCTGGCGACGGCCCGCTCTTCGCGCTGCGGCGCGCTCAGGTGGCTAGCCTCGGCGGCGCGGCTTGGGTGGGGGAGGCGGCGTGCGAGACGCGGCTGGGCCGTTCGATCCTGCGATCGGGCGAGCCGAGCGAGGAGTTTGGGTCGGTGGCGCTGGACTGGGCTTGCCGCTACGAGGAGGCGCTTCCGGCCGCGCAGGTGCCTTTCCGTGGCCCCGCCTCCGCCCTCTCTTCCTCCGCCTCCTCCCCTGCACGCACCGCCCTCTCCCGGCGCACAGATGGCCTCGACAATCGACTTTCTGCTCGAGATGCGCGCGACGCAGCCCGACTACACCTGCGTCGGCCGCACCCCGAAGACGGTGCGCGCCGCCCTCGAGGCATACGTCGCCTCCACCATCTCCTTTGGCGAGGTGCAGGACGAGGCCTTCCAGCCAAACCCGCGAGGGCTCAAGCCGTGGTTCGAGCTCGGCGCGACCATCCCGGCCCGCACAAAGGTTCGCGTGCCGTACGAGGGCCCGTGCGAGCTCGGGGGCGCCGGCCAGCCGGGCGCGGAGCCGGCGACGGTACGCGTGGCCGAGATCCTCTCGCTGCGCCGCCTCTTTTACGAGGGCGAGCAGCTGTGCAACTGCCTCGAGGACAGCCGCCGCTCGCAGAGCAAGTACCTGCAGCGGGCGCGGGAGCGCGTCTCCTCCTTCTGGAGCCTGACGCGGCAGGAGGAGGGCGGCCCCGTCGAGCACCTGTGCCTCATCGAGGTGTGGCACATGGGGGGAGGGCGCAACGAGATCCGGCAGGCCGAGGGGCCGAGGCCGCGCACCATCCCCAGCGCCGAGGCGTGGTACTGGCTGCAACATTGGTGCGAGAGGGAGGGCGTCGACCTCTCCACGTGGGACTGCTACTCCTAGCCGCTCTCGTCACAGCCGCCTGGGGAGACGCGCGTTGGTGTGTGGGATCCCTGGAGAGCGCGGAGAGAGCGGCCCGGGCTAGAGAGGAGCCCTGACGACCGCTGTCCTATGTAGTCTTTGAGTACATTTGTCGGGTACATCTACAAAACCCCGGTCCTATGATATTACAAATTTGGCCATGATTTTTACGGTACGGCCTTTTGAAAGAAAAGCAGCATACACACCCCTTATGGCAAGGAGTCCTTGGAGCATCGTGCTGGCACAACGCGGTGAGGTTGAGACGGTCGAGGGGTCCCGTACCATGCGGAATCGACCTTATCCCAGTGCTCAGTGCTCAGTGAAGTTGAAGACCTCGTGAAACAGGCACGCACGACCACGAGCAAAAGCGAAAAGGCAAGCCATACTCGGCCGTCCCTGATTGAGCCGGCTGACTGCTCCGCCGCCTTGAACGACTGCGCACCGCTCGCCTCGTCGCCACCCATCCAGCTCGAAATGGCTGATGTTAGAACGTCGTCGACGCCGTTAGTTGATGGCGGCCTCCCCACGACCGCGTTGCCGCGTCAGCAAGCTCATTGCACTTCGCTTGTTGTCTACAGCATCGCCGTGGTGAGCATGTTGACCGGCGCCCTCCTCCTCTACGCTGGCCTCGATAGCGCCACCTGCACCGCCTTGCATATTTGCGATGCTGAACCTCCGCCAGAGCCCAAGAAGGCAAACCTCACGTTGCTCGAGAGCTTCACGTATCTCATGTTCGCTGACAGCGTCAGCGCGAGCCCCGATGTCTACAAGATTGCTGCAAAGTCAGTCGCCGGCACAGCTCGCCTCGTCGAGATGGAGATGCCGCCTGGGACCAAAGATCAATTCCACGAGCATCCTTCGCAGCTGACGTATGTGGTGCGGGGCGGCATGCTCAACATCAACGGCACCTCGTACCCTGGAGGCGAAACGCTCACGTTGCCTACAAACACCACCTTTATTTTTCCGCCAGGACTGCACCAGCTCAAAAATGTGGGAATAACCCCGATCAAGCTCGTGATCGTCGAGGCGTTGCCGAAGGCGCTGCCTCTTCACCCCTACGCGCATTTTAAAAAGCGGGACATCGACTTGTCGAGTCGCGGCTCGAGTCAGCAACACCAAGCGCAAGCGGAGACGGAAATGTGGTGCATGGATCTGCTGTCCTTGGGCCCAGGCGAGGCGGGCAACGGGCACACCTCTCAGCTCATCTACATGCTCGAGGGCAACTCGGTGATCGTCTCAGAGCTCGACGGGAGGGGAAGCGGCAGGTTGACCGGCGCGACGCGGACCCTTGCCAGAGGGGAGGGTCTGGCGCCACCCTTTGCAGACTTCCTGATCCGGAATGGGCCGCAGAGCCCGGCAGCCGAACTGCTCAACTTTGAAGAGAGGCCCGACGATGGTGAACCACGCTCACGATGTCGAAGGTGACGAAGAGCTCCGTAGATCCATATTTTTTACGTAATGATTGCCGATTAGTGCGACCTGCGTGAGCCGTGTCCCGTGTAAAGCCGAGACCGTACTCCGTTGATAGGTCGTGTACGGCTCTAGAGAGACTAGCTCGAGTCGGCTCAGCCTGGGGATAGCGCGCGTAGTGCAAGAAAGTATGGGGAGTTGCACACTTCTCATTCACATTCTCAAACTTTTGCTCATGATCAAGGCACAAGCCACAAGCGATCACTGTGTGAAAAAAGTCAGCCAAATGTCAGCGGGTAATATCTAAAACCCGGCGCCCGCCCTCTTTCTGGCCGCGTCCCTCCCCTGTCCGATCTTCTGGTTCCCTCGTTTCTCTCCCGTGACGAAAAACGAACAACGCACCAGGCGACTGCCTGAGAACGCGGGGATCGAATCGTAGGAGGCACCTAGAGCAAAATTGAGCCCGCTCAGGTGAGAAAAAATATAAGGGTCAAGCAGGTTTCGAACTGGCGACCTTCCGCTTGCGGAAAGGTATCCAGCAAGAGATCGCTGCGAGTGAGAGGGAGGTCGCTGTTCGAAACCTATGCATACCGGGGGAATTAGACACCACAGATACGCACACACCGACGCCCGAAGTGCCGAGAAGGACGTCATTAGTACGAAACCTCAGAAGGCCATGGGCGCCGAGAGAACATTCCCCCGAGAGGACAAAAAGAAAAGACTAACCCGAACCTCCTTCCCTGGTTCCCCCCGCCAAATGCCGCCGTTCTCGGGCATGCTATCCTGTGTAAGCAGGGCAGGTGGGGGAGGGGGGCACTCCCCCTGGTCTGATACTGGGGTGTGACTGTCTCTAGCGTCGGAGGCAAGGCAGAAGATAAGAATATTCAATTTTCTGGTTCCCTCGTTTACATAATATAACGACGCCGACCGGGACCGCCGTGTGGCCCGTGTGCAGCGGTGACCGGTGTGGTGCGTGAAAAGTGAATTGTCAAATGTCACAAACCATATTCCGGATATTGAGAGGTACATCAATGCGTTCAGGCCCTTCAGACATAATATAACGAAATAAGCCACAAAATAACGTATACGTGCGGAACGCGGAGCAGTCCCGAGATGGACATATACGTCTACTGGTTGCGCTCGCAACTTGCACCCGACCACACACACACAGTCACAGACACACGCATGCCTCATGCGCAAAAGGCAGCTACATAAATCACCATCGCCCTCCTCGGGGGGCAGCCACGTCTGAGCGGTCCTCGGGGAGGAGCACGACCTTCGACCCCCGGGGCGCCGGCTCATCTTCCTCCGAGTCTAAAGCCGGCGCCCTCCAAGCGACATCATCGAGGTAGAGAGGGCGGCCGCGGCCGGCTACAGAATGAGGTGTGCTCCTTCTGTCTCCCGCGCGGCGGCTGTCGCTGCTCGCGCCGCTGCCCACGGCGCCGCCCGCGCGGCGGCAGCTGCTCGAGCCACCGCTCAGCATCGTGCTGCTCGGCGACGAGATGCCGCGCCGCCGCGAGCCGCCGCCCGGGTCGAGGAGCGGCTCGGGCGGGGCGGCCGGCGTCGCCTCGCCCACGGCGCTGTCCAGGTCGAGGCTGCGAGAGGGGCGAGCGCTCGGCGCAGACACGTCCGACTCTGCCATTGACTGCGCGAGTCGCGTGGCCATGTACGACTCGTCGAGCGGACGGTCCGAGGGGCTGTCCGAGGAAGAGCTGTCCGAGGAGGGGCTGTCCAGGGTGGCGCCGGGCCTGCCGTCGCTGCGAGGGTCGTCGCACCGCTGCGGCCGCGATGCCTTGGCCCTGGGAGGCGCCGCCATGGCGCGCAGCATGGACTCGGCCGCCAGCGCCTTGACGAGGCGCTCCTTGTCGCCGCGCTTGTCGCCGCGCTTCTTGTCGGCGTGCTCCTGCTCGCCGAGGCGCGAGCTCCGCTGCTCCTGCGAGCTTCTGCTCGGTGGGGTTGACGCCGTGCTCCCGGGCCCGGCGTCGCTCTGTCCGCCAGAGACGACGGAGATGCCGAGACTCACCTCGCTCTCGCCCTCTCTCGCGCCGGGGCCCCTCCTCACGGCTTGCCCCGCGAGGCAGCCGCACGAGAAGGGGTACGAGCGGAGGGGCGCCGGCTCCGGGCTGGCTCGAGGGTCCGCTAGTCTGGCTCGCCGCCTCGCCCGCCGCCACGCCTCGTGCTCCGCGTCGCGCGACTCGAGCGCCTCGTCGGCGTCGTCCTCGTCGCTGCCAACCAGTCTCGCAATTTCCACCTGTGGTGCGGAAGAAGGGGCCTAGACGTGTCAGCTCGCGGGCACATTTATTAGAATGGGTCGGGGAGAAGGCACCGTCGGCTGGCGATGGCCGCCAGCGAGCCTCGAGCTAAAGTCGGAGAGCTGGCGAGTCGCCGCCGCGAGCAGCGTCGCGAGCCCGCCCGCCTCGGCGCCTCCGCCGCGCGGGCGGCTGTGGTCCCACTCGGCCGTCCCGCCGTAGAAGGCGACAAACTCCTCCTTGGAGTAGTCCATCCCGTCCGACACGTCGACTCGCAGTCCCGGCGCCGCGCCGCCCTCTTGCCGCTGGCTTTGCCGCCCGCCGCAGTTGGCCAGGGTGAAGAGGCAGAGTCCGAGGAGGCCAACGGCGGCGAGGGAGGCGGCGACGTCGCTCGAAAGCGAAGAGCGCGGCGCGGCGGGAGGCGCAGACGGCGGTCGTGGCGGAGGCGGCAGAGGTGGATGCGGTGGCGGCGGTCGAGGCGGCGGCGGTGGCGGTGGCGGCGGCGGCGGCGGCGACATTGGCGACGGAGGCGGGTCGACGGGAACCGTGCAGCTGATCCCCGCCACCGTGTGCAAACTGCCCTCGCCCCAAAAGTGGAAGGCGCCAGTGCCTTCGATGTGGAGGTCCTCGAGCTGGAACACGAGCTTGGCGGAGGTGGCGCCGGCGCTGGCTGGCTCGGTTTCACCCACAAAGCGCTGACCAGCCTGACTCACTCCGTCATCTGGGATGAGCCACGCGCCTTGGGTGCCAGTGACTCGTATGGGCGCCGCCTCGGCCGTGTGCGGGTTGTCATCCGCAAAACTCACTTCGATCTCTGCAAACGGGCGCCACGGCGTCACCTCTACCTCTATCTTGGTGATGCCGCGCAGGTCCGACTGGTGCTCCACGCGGTACGCGATCTTGTCGACTGCGCAGGAGGCCATCGCCCCTTGCCCGCTTACCCGCGTACTCGCTCGCCTGCGTCGCACGTAGTCTGCCGTCACTATAACAGCGGGTCGTGTGGGTGTGAACAGACGCCGTGCACAGCCTTGAAGGCGAGCACGTTGAGCACGTTGAGCACGTTGAGCAGGTTAAGGAAAAGGTTTTGCTTCCGAAAAGCCAAACTATATAGGCTCGCACAAGCGAAAAGGCCGTCAGCGTCGCAACCTTTTCTAAGATCAATCTCTAGTAGCTTCTTACGTTGCTCATACATAGTACATAGAATGTTTGCCCCCCAAAAGCTACACTGAGACCACCACACGCACACAACGCGCCGCGCGCCGCGCGGACCCTCACTCCTCCGGGATGTCCGCCAGCCGCGCGTCCATCTCCACCAGCATGCCCTCCACCCACGCCTCTCTCCCGGACCGCTCGGGCGGCAGCGCCGCCTCTGCGCACTTGCGCGCCTGCTCCTCGTTGCCCAACCGCGCGTGGCACATGGCGATCCCGCCCAGCGCGCCAACGTGCCACGGCTTCATCCGCAGCACCCTGCGGCAGAGCTCGACGGAGCTCGCGTACTCGCCCTGCATGTAGCGCAGCGTCGCCAGGCGGTTCAATGGCTCCGCCCAGTCGGGGAAAGAGGCTGCGATATCCTGCAGCGCTTCCGCCTCGCCCGCCGTGTCAGGATTCTGCATGAGGCGCCTCTCCGCCTTCTCGAGCGCGGCTCGCGGCGCGGCGCCCTCCTCGCCGTACCAGTGGCTCCACAGCTGCTCGAGCGCCTTTTCTGGACGCTCGCCTCCCACGCCCTCGAGGAGCGTTCGCTCCTGCTGCAGCCGCTCCTTGCGAGCCGCGAGCTGCAGCCGGCGGCGGCGAAGCGAGTCGTACAGCCCGCCCGAGTCTGCACCAACGCCGTCGTTGGCGTCGGCAGCCGTCAGCATCGGAGAGCCGGCGCGCCTTCCAAGCGGGCCGGCGAGGAGGCCGACGGCGCCGCTCGGAGACACAATCGCTGAGAGAGTCAGCGACAGAATCGGGAAGACGGCCACTGAGAGCATCGGGGCGGCTTTGGGTGGCGGCTGTGCGATTTCCGCGCAGGGCGATTTCTTCTTCTTCGGATTTGTTGCTTCTTCGGCGGCGTCGCAGGACGGGGCAGAAGAGAACAACGCGACAGAGGAGGAAGTGACAAGGGAGAGAACGACGAGGGTGGGACGACCGCGTGGTGGCATGAAGGTTGCAGCGAGAATCAGCGAGAGACTGCGAAGAGAGATAGGAAGAGGCAGACTCCCTAGGGTGGGCGACGGATAGCGCACCACACACCTCTCCTTAAAATCCCTGTGTGGTGGCGGCGTGCCGTCCTCCCATCCCTCCCTTGGGTTGTCTGTTTTCTTTCTTTCTTTCTTTTCTTCGTCGCGCTGGGTTTGAACTTTCTGCGGGGTATGGTATGGTACCACCACCCACGCTGTAGATGGACAGAGGAACCAACAGAGCGCAGTGGGAAGGGGAAGGGGGGAGAGGCTGCGAAGGGCGAGGGGGGGTGGAAGGGGGTGGGCAGTGCTATGCCACCTGCCTCGTGCGCACCTCTATTCTGCTCCGGAGTGACTCGCCACCGCCATCCCTGGGCCCACTGGGCAGTCGTGTGAGGGGCCGCCCCCTAGTGGGTCCCCCGACTGACCCGTAAACCAACTATGTTCGGAGCCTGGATAGGGTGTAGGCCGTTCGGAAGGTGGGTCGGGAGGGGATACCCCGCTAGGAATAGTCTCCCGCGACCCCGCCCGCCCGCCCGCCCGCCTGCCCTGCCCGCCTGGCCGATAAGATCTCTTCACCTTCTCATTGGTGGAGTATAGGTACGAGGGTGGTGTGGCATCTCTTGCGGGTCTCGCCAGGGGCGCCTGCCAACCTCGCTTGCGAGGGGCGTGTGGCATGTCTGAACGGACTCGTGAGGGGCGCCTGCCAACCTCGCTTCGTCGAAGCGGCGCTCGGTACCCACACCCACCCCGCCGCATTCGTCGCCGGCGCGCGACACGTTCCCGTCGGCTGGACTGCCCTCGTCGAGTGCGTGTCGCCAACCAAGGCGGGACGCACTCAGGGACAGTGCCGGCGGGACGCGGCTCGAGAGGCGGCTCCCGCGGAGGCACGGCTGGCACCTGTGGCGCGGGGCTCGTCTTCGGAAAGACCAGGATCGCTCTACTGGCAAAGTTCTGGCTGACACGCGCGCCCGGTCGAGCCTTCGGCGGGCGCGCTGCGGTCGCACGCCTACCCAAGTCATATGCCACGGCGTGCGATCTAGATTCAGCACACGCGCCTCTGCTCGCAACCACTCATCCAATGAACTGTCGTCACCCATGAGTGCGAGTTAGGGCTAGCGGCTGGCCAATAGCCTGTGAGGAGGGCGTCCATAGACACCTCACAAGACCCCACACACGGTCTCGTCCGTGCCTTGCGGCCGGCGACGAGATTGCTAGAGGCGGAGCAAGCCTGCTCTAGTCTCACACGTTCGCCCCTGTCGCCTGTCTGTGTTGTTGTGCTGTTGTTTGTCTCTTGGCACCTTGGAGTGCTGGGGGGGGCGACAGGGGGGACGTGGCCTGAGTGATGTGTACGCCCACTCAGGATGTGTGGCAGCCCGCTGGCTGTGTGTCTTGTGAGCTTGTTTGTGTCTGTGTGTCGCTCGTGCGTGTCGTCATCATCTGTCTTGCGTCCACCCATACCGCGTTGGTGTCCAGTCCGAGCCTGACTGTTCTTCACCTTACTACATACATACATACATATGGTAACGACCAACCCACCTCGAGACCATACCCCCCCCGCCTGCTGACAGACCCAGCCTCCCGGAGACCGGGGATGGGCGGTCAGGACCATACCCCCCCACCCTTTGGGCCGCGAGGGTACCATACCATACCCCGGAAAAAAAAGTTGGAACCCTGGTATACTATTCTATACTCTGGAGGGCGCCTGGGTCTAAATTTAGTGCGGTGTTAAGTGTTTATCTACTGCATCTTTAGTGCACTTTAGCGCGAATTAGCGCGAATTTACCGCGAATTTAGCGCAAATTTACCGCGAATTCCGCGCAAATTTAGCGCGAGTTCACTGCGACTTTACATCCAGATTTAGCGAGGTTGTGCGTCTTTATTTAGCCGCCGCGCACTCCAGCCGCAGCCCCTCGCTGGGCCTCCCTTCCCCTCTCCCCCTGCAGTCCCCTGCCCACTCGCAAAAACTTTCCCGTCCGTCACATCCCCAACCGAACGAACGAAGGTTTTTCAGCTGAATATCAGCCTCCGGGCCCGCCGAGCGGCAAAACGTTTGCCGGCAGCGGGGCGTGAAGTCTGAAGATGGTCACGGGCACAGCATGGGTTGTGCGGTCGGAGGTGCTGCTTTGCGGTGGCGCATTCAACTGTGCTGGTCCTCCTCTCGGGAATCGGTGCTGTGCCTGTGCTCAGTCGGGGGAGATCTTGCTCTGGAGGGCTGCATATCTAGCCTCACTGGGAGCCTGCCTTTGGGTCATGAGGGCAGGGGCCAGGCATCTCCTGTGGTGCATTCTTGGCAGCCAAGGAGCAATCGAGCAAAGCACGCGGCCATGGCTAGCTGTGGCCTGTGGGCTGTGGTGTGGCCGGGAAGCCGTCGGCTAAAGAATGCGTGCCCGCACTAAAGATGCGGGACCCACACTAATGTACAAACAAACACTCTCTAATGTACTGCAGCTGCCCGCACCTAAAGTGAACTAAATGTGGCGCTAAAGTGGAGATAAAACACACTAAATATGTGCTAATATGTGCTAAATATGTGCTAAATATGTACTAAATTTGCGCTAAGTCGCGCTATATACGCACTCGAACACACACTAAATAGCGCACTAAACTATCACTAAAGTTCATTCACATGCACTAAATTTAGACTCAGGCGCCCTTCTACTACCCAGGTACCCCTGCTGTGGCGGGCACAGCAGAAACCAGAGAAACCCACTATAGAGTTTGTTGATGTTGTAGAGATTTCACGTTGTAGAGCGCCTCTACATCGCTCTACAACGCACGCAGTTCGTCACGCGGCGAATGTAGAGCTCTACAGCTCTACAGCGCTCTCCACTCTACATCCTCGACACCCTCCCTCAGGTCCTGCGACGCCGCCGCCGCCTTGCCGATCCCTTGCTCTCGCGGCTTCTCCCGCCTTTCGGCGCAACTCTGCCCTCCTCGCGGCATATTTTGGCCCCTCGAGTTTATCGAGCTCTCCTCGCTCAAGGAAGGACGACTCTTCTGACACCCACCCACTCCGACAATCTCTCTCTCTCTCCCACTCCGATCATTATTTGTCATGTCGTTGCTGAGGTCCACTATCGTGTCGGACACTTGTACCTCCACCGATGATGTTCTGGGGTCCCTTCGGGACAGCTGACGACGAGATTACCACTGCGATTCGGGCCCGTATGCGAACTGCGCGATTTCTCCCATCGCTTTGGTTGGGCCACAGCAGCTGTGGCGCCACAGCAGAAATACACACATATTTACACACATATGCCTCCCGCCGTCCTCATGCTCGGCACCGGCGAGTACACCACGGGCTTCACCGGCTCGGGCGCCTCCGACTCGGACAAGTCGACTGGCGTCGTCGCGCTCGTGATGCTCGACTTGCGGCGGCGCGGCAAGGTTGGCAGGCTCGGGATGTGCGGCACAGATGGCCGGAAGCTGCCCGCGATCCGCGCGCACATGAAGGCGGCGCTGGGCGACGTTTACAGCGGCATCGACCCCTCCTGCATCGAGACGTGGCCGCCCGACGGCGTCGTCGACCGAGAGGCGTACGTGGCTGCGGCCGATGCTTTTGGTCCCGGCGACGTGGCGGTCATCTTCACGCCGGACGACACGCACGGCCCGATCGCGCGGGCCTGCCTGGCGCGCGGCATGCACGTCCTCCTCACCAAGCCGCCCGTCAAGACGCTCGAGGAGCACCGTAGCCTCGCGGCCGCGGCGGCGGACGCCGGGCGGCTTTGCGCCGTCGAGGTGCACAAGCGGTACGACCCGATCTACAGGGACGCGCGGGACCGCGTGCCGTCGCTCGGCGCCTTCTCCTACTTCACGGCGCACATGTCGCAGCCCAAGCACCAGCTCGACACCTTCAAGGCGAGGTTGCTCAGACTTAGTGATTAGTGTTTGATCAGTGCTTGATCGGGCAAGCACCAGCTCGACACCCTCAGGCGTGGGCGGGCAAGTCGAGCGACATCTCGTACTACCTCAACTCGCACCACGTCGACTTCCACGAGTGGTGCCTGCGAGGGAGGGCGAGGCCGGAGGCGGTGACGGCGCTCGCCTCGGACGGGGTCGCGAGCGAGCGGGTCGGCCGCCCGTGTGAGGACACCATCACCCTCGCCGTCCGGTGGCGCAACAAGCTCGAGCCTCCGGCGCTGCAGGAGGAGAACCAGGGGCGGGAGGGGCGGCAGGAGGGTGCGGCGGCGCGCTCCTTCACAGGAAGCGCGGGGCACGCGGTGTACACCTCGTCGTGGATCGCCGCCCGGGCGGACGTGCACTCGCAGCAGCGCTGGCTCTCCTCCTAGACACTTCCTAGACACTTCCTAGACACTTCCTAGACACTTCCTAGACACTTCCTAGACACTTCCTAGACAGCAGCGCTGGCTCCCCTCGCGGCCACTGCGGAGGCGTGCCCCGGCGGGCGGGGTGTCTCGACCAGCCCTCTCTCGAGCCCTGCCCTGCAGGTTCTACATGGGGCACGGCGGAGAGATGTCGGTCGACCAGGCGCACCGCGGCTACACGGTCGCGCAGGACGGCAAGGGCTTCGCCTCGGTGTAGCCCCCGCCCCCTGGCCCCGCCCCCTGGCCCCGCCCTGCCGGAGCCGGCCGAGGAGGCGCCTCGCTCCCGGCCCAAGCGCCCTCTCTCCCGCTGGCAGGTGAACCCGCTCTTTTGGAAGCCGGCTCGCGACGCCCTCACGCGCGAGTTTACCGGCCAGCGCTGCTACGGCTACCTCTCCTTCGAGGCCTTCGTCGACGCCGCCGCCGCGTGCAACGCCGGCCGCGCGGTGCCGGAGGACTACGACGGCGTGTTGCCGACTGTTGCGACGACGGCGGGCGCGACGGCGATACTCGAGGCGGGGCGGCGCTCGCTCGACGCCAGCGGGCGGACGATGGAGCTCGTCTACGCGGACGCCGCCGCCGAGACGCCGGTCGGCATCCGGGCCCTCGACTTCTCGTGAGGGCACAGGGAGCCCGCACGCTTCGCGGGGCGGAGAGAGGAGCAGCTGAGCAGGCGAGACACAGCCGGCCACGTGATGTACTGATGTTGCGCCCGCGGTGTCGCGGTGTACGTAGCGCTTCCGAGGGAACTGGGAAGAACGAAGAAGCTAGATTGCCGCGGAGCTTTTTTTTTCGCGTGGACGGCCGTCTGGACCGGTGGGAGGTGCGGGTGGTGTGGACGCTGGACCGTGTAAAGCCGTACGTCGTTTTATGACGTCGATAAGAATTAATATGATCAAAAATAGGGCGCGGCGCGCCAGCCAACGAACTGTGAATACTTACGACGCATCTGAACATTAAAACATTTATGTCACGCAACGATGGAATGCAACAACTCAGTCCGCACGTCGGGACAGGCGTCACACCCTCCCCGCGCACTCATGTCGCGACCACGTGCGAATTCACAGCCCCTCCGCCAGCGGCTCCGAGATCTCGATGAGCACGTTGTCCACCGAGAGGCCGAGCGGGAGCGGCAGCCCGAGCGCCTCGCTCGGCGCCTGCCCGCACAGCTGCAGCTTCAGGCTCGCAGCGGAGAGGCGCAGCCGGTGTAGCGGGAGCTCTTCGGCTCCAGCGCGCGCAGGCAGCGGGACGAGCGGCGCCCACAGCGCCTTCAGCGTCGGCGTCCACAGGACGGGCAGGCCGCCGCGAGCCGGCGCACCCTCCGCCGCGCTGCGCGCGCTCGACCAGCCGCTCACCTCAATCTGCGGAGCAGCGGCAGACTCGGGAGGCCGCTCGACGCACAGCGCGCCGCCGCCCTCCTCAAACTCAATGGCAGCCGCGGTGGCGGGGACGCCCCAGACGCGAACGCACGCCCGCTCCGCCTCGGCGTTCGACACGTACAGCCGCGAGCCCCACTGCCCCACTGTGCCCCGCTTGGAGACGAGCGCGCCCATGCTCACGTACTCGAGGTACGGCCCGACGGGAGACTCGTCGTACTCCAGCGCGACGACGCCGCCGATGCTCCAGCCAAAGAGAGAGAGGGCGCGCACGCCGTCGGGCAGCGCGCCCGCCGGCGGGGACCGCACAACCGCTGGACGGAACCAGAGCCGACCGCGGAACAGCCAAGGGTAGTCTGCGTCCTCGCCGTTGCGCTCTGATGGAGAGGCGAGTGGCGTGCCGCGAAGAAGACCTCGCAGGAGCGGTGGGGCGCGTGGCGAGGCGGCGGCGAACGCAGTCAGAGTGCAGGACAGAAGCATCGGGACGAAGTCGGTGCGGTTGGGTCGCGTGTTCACGGCGCCTGCATCTGAGGATCTGTTGTAGTCGTCAAACATTGAGCAGCGGAGGTGTGCCGAGGGGGACCGGGAGGCGGTAAGTCGTCGTCGCCCGGCGCTGCTTGCAGCACCATGGCGAGGGCGCTAAGAGGTTCCTCTTTTCCGCGCCCCCCCCGCAAGGCGCGCGATACACACGTAGAGTCACTCTTCTGTTGCACTGTTGCCCCACTGGGATAGGGTCGATTCCGCATGGTACGGGACCCCTCGATCGTCTCGCCCTCCCTCACTGGATGATGCTCGTGAGGGGGGGGGGGGGGGGGTCACTTTCCTCAAGCTAATTCACTTT